TGATCGCAAGTTGCATCAAGTCTGCAGCAGACCTGTTGCAACTTGCGCGTTTCTGGCTGTGTACCTAATAATACATGTTGCAGTAATGAAGGGCAAGTACCAGGTATTCATTAAACTTCAAATTTTTGTTGTTTGGGGTCAAAGTTTTAACCAAACATAAGGCGATGATGATGTAGTGCAACTTACTGTGACTTTTGGCGATTTACGTGCTAATAATCGGATAAATTCACAGTTGATACGTACTTTTACGTTGGTACTTTTACGTTAAGCTGATACAAATTGCCGCTTAAGGCTTAATTCCACGACAAGCGAAATTCGAAAAATTATCCGCGAAATCAACTTGCACGAAAATGTTCTCTATTTTCACAGTAGAGGAAAAATTTGCCAAAACACAAGTATTTGATTGGCTTTGCTATTTCGTCATCCAAAACACAAGCATTTGATTGCATGGTTTCGCTACTTCCATTTTGCAACGGAGTAGAAAATTATTCAACTGCCCGGCGAAGAGAAATATTTCGCAGAGAAACACTCCAAAATCATGTTGCGCATGCGTTCAACCTTTTCGCGCGATATTTTTTGCATTTCGCTCGTTGTGGAATTGGACCTTAAGGTTCCATTTTCAAATACAGCAACTGGTGACCAAGTGATGGTAGCGTTATAGTATACCATGACAGAATATCCCTTTCTATAGTGCTGCCCAACCTCGTGTAAACAGAAGCATTTTGAACAGAGCTCGTCGATAGGGGAGGGATAATAAATAGAATGACCCATCTTGCATGTGAATATACCGTTGTTTTGCCTGCCCAAGACAGGTTATCTAAAATAATTTAGCTGAGTCATTAGATTAAAGACAGTGTGAAACTATAATAAAGTTTGATCTTCCCATACAGGATCGCCACTTGTCGACTAACCTTTCTACATGTCATTGATTATCAATACGTTTATGAACATTCAGCTTGCCATCCAGTTTAACTCCAAGAGCTTTATAAACGTCCCTTTTTTGTCTTGTTGAAGCAATTATATTTGTCCAATATCTGACTCGAAGGCCAATAGTATATACAGATATACCGAAGCTTTCAAAGTTGTTAGGGTGCAGTGTTGTGAGAAAATTTATCCTCTTAATAACCTTTAAACGTTGTCCACCCTTGGTCATGCTTTCGTTTCAAAAACTGACAAAAAATAGTAATTTTACACTGATGCATGAACGACTTTCAAGCAATCCCACAAGACTTTAACACAGAAACAAGAGGAGCGCAAGTAATAAGATTCTAAATTCTAATGAGATTTTTTTCTCTCCTAGAATTCTGTCCTAAACTCTAATGAGATTCCTTTCTCCCTCCATGTGCCCTGATGAAAGCCATCTATTCCGTCATGTTATTTATTCCACAGCCCATATTGCTAGTTGAACAGCGAAACAAATTCCCAGGAGACACAATCCTGGACATAAGCAGTGTACAAGATGTCCCAAACAATCAAAACTATTGAAATAACGTATTGTTAGAATTTGAATGCCGCAGCACTCTGCTGAACCCACAAGTGCATAAAAGCTTGACATAAGAAGCTGCTTTAAATTCCTAAGAACAAAAACTCGTGCCGCTTTTTATGCACCCTAGTTGTCAATATTTTACGCATCTTTGCATGCATTCAGCTTAATCAGTATAGGGCATTCAAAATTCTACCAATACGTTATTATTTCAATAGTTTTGGGTTTTTTGGGACATCCTAGCCTGTACAGTCTTCCCACTGAGGGCCTGTTCATATCATCCCGCTTACCGGGACGTCCCACTTACCGATTATCTCGCTGCCTAGTTATTTTCCTGCTAGAAATACATGAATGCAGAAACCCTCGCCTTGCTGACAAAACCATTATATTTTCCGAACACGAAGTATCTAAAGTAGTCGTCATGGTAACACGATAATTTTTTAAGAATATTCTTACAAATGAAAATCGCCTAAAAATATCACTTTTAATTACAAAATTATCAATTTCCCAACATATATAATATTAGGTATGTAATTATGCGTAATACGTACAAGCTTCAATTTAAGGTAAAATTCAACGACAAACAATTCACAAAACGTTTTAAAGTGTTCTTTATATAACCATTAAAACTGCCTTTTATATTAAACTATTAAATGGCTTTATCGATAAACTTTCAGTTTGCAATAGAATGATTTCAAATTCTCACTTACAAATAACTTTGCTTTATTTTTTATTTAAAAAATTCAATATAATAAAAAAGGGAATCAATATTATTAAAGATACACTGAAATTATATTCTGTCTTGTTTAGTTGTTTCATATACGCAAAGGCCGTCGGGTTTTAAAGCAATTATAAACTCAATATTTAAAACAAACTTACCTTCGTTAACGTCGGCTCCCTTCTTTTAGCCGATTCTTTCGCCCTTTCTTTCTTGAAATTTACAAAATCTTGCAAAAATACGACCAAAAATGAAATATATTTGCAAGAAATTTATCAATTATCAAATCAAGAAATGTTTGTAATTTCGCTGTCGTCATGCAATCGTTATAATGCAAACTTTAAATTGGACCAATCAGTCTCCGTTAATCATGACAGTCCGCCATATTTTTGAGATCAGTGAGGATGACCACCCATCGTTGGTGACCGACGCCCGCGCTCATTGATGAACTTTAGACTTCGCTAATGCTTTCGTTTCCCCGGGTGTAAATAGCCGGGGAGAATTAGTACCCTCGCACGGCGCTTCGCGCCGTCGGCTCGGGGACAAAATTCTGCATTGCGTTCATATGAGAAAGCGAGCTGGCCCGCTTGCCGAGATCTCGCTCGCATTTGCCAAAATCATAGGTAGGCGGGATGAAAAATTTTCGATATGAACACGCTAGCCCGCTTACCGGATAGATTTGCCCCAAGTCTCTCTCGAATGGGTTTTGATAGCTGTACATTCAGTTTATTATGAGATCAGTTTTGAATCTCATAATAAACTGGACATACAGCTATCAAAACCCATTCGAGAGAGACTTGGGGCAAGTCTACAAGCGAAATGAAACACTCTATATGAACGCACGGAAATATTCGCGGTCTCGCTAGCCAAGACGTCTCGGTGAGTGGGATCATATGAACAGTCCATGAGTTTTCCGTGACGTTAAGCCCGCGCCGCACACAATTTAAAACGTGTGCAGCAAACACGTGCCTTTCTTTTCTGAAAATCTGGCGAAACTACATCTATGATTAGTTGTACAATGTCCAATATACCAGAACGCACGTCTGTCGTGTGATGTGACCTTAATGTATAATGAGGAAACCAATTTCGTCACCCCATTTCCCCCAGGTCATTAGGGTTGTTTACCATTTACATGGAATTCCGGTGATTCCATACGGAAAGTAAATGGAACAAGCATATTTCGACGGCCCAACCGGAACTTTTCCGGAATAAACGGTTTGTTTGAAAAGGTTGTCCTCTCTTACCGATTGGAAAGTTTCAACCGGTAAATGTTGTTCCATTTACATTTTTTAAATTTTTTTCACCAGTTCCAGGCTCTTCGCGATTTAACAATTGAAATTATTAAATGGAAAACGAATAATCCGAATGGGATTTTCTATCCGAAATTTTGCTTACCATTAGCACAATTTCAAACCGGATGGGTTTTACATGTAAATGGTAAACAACTAGGTCAATGTCTTGAACAAGCTGGAAAGAGCTGCGGTAGTTTACCATGACACAGACTCAACACTGAGCTGGGGGTGGGGGGAGTGGGGGCTTAAGAAGCGCAACATCAGTACATGACTTTGCAGTATTCGAATTTTGTATAGAGAGAAGAAAAGTCTCAACCAGTTATGTCCACGAATGTAGCTACAAATGATATGTTAAAACAAGCGTTCGTTTGTAGGGATGCAACAACCTGAAAAATACAAGGAGAAATTCGACGTTTCCACCGAAGGCCCTTCGTCTGGAGTTACCAGCCGGCTAGGTATGGTAGCTATTCACATGGACGCCGGAAATGGGGGGCGGCAGGAGGGGCAGCCGCCCCCGTTGCCCTTTACCAGGAGGGGCAAGGCGGGCAAAGGTGCCCTTTCAAATTAAAGGATTGCCTTTGTGAAATAGCGATTGTCAGAAATGTGAGTGCAATTCTTTTACGAAATTAATTGCTTCAGAAAACGCAAGAAATGCAGTCATCGACCTTCAAGAATAGCACAATCGCCTGGCGGGGAACACCCTCACATCCCTATCATCCAATAAATACTAGAAAACATGATTAGGCGAAGTTCAACTCCCGATGTTTTGCAAACATCTCTTAGTACATATCAATTCAATAACCCCAAACGAAAGACCCTCGCTCGAAACGTAGAATTTCTCCTTATATTTTCAGGTAGTTGCATCACTTGTTTATATTACTGCAACCAGGGACGCCGGAACGATGTGAAGGCAAGGGGGGGGGGGGAGATTTTCGTGAAAGGGCACTTTTGAATTGATATATACGAAGAGATGTTTGCAAAACATCTGGAGTTAAACTTCGCCTAAGTCATGTTTTCTAGTATTTATTGGATGATAGGGGTGTGAGGGGGTTCTCCGCCAGGCGATTGTGCTATTCTCGAAGGTCGATGACTGCATTTCTTGCGTTTTCCGAAGCAATTAATTTCGTAAAAGAATTGCACTCACATTTCTGACAATCGCTATTTCGCCAAGGCAATCCTTTAAATTGAAGGTGCAACTTTACCCCCCTTGCCCCTCCTGGTAAAGGGCAACGGGGGCGGCTGCCCCTCCTGCCCCCCCAGTTCCGGCGTCCCTGATTGTAACTATCTACACTGGCACAGACAGTAGCTAAGTGACACAATATCTCAAGATTCATTCATTCCAAAACCTACTACTACTATGGTGTTTGTATGTTACCACAGAATAGTCACCATACTCCTTTGTCAACAACATATGTCCATCCAATGCTGACCCTGGGAAATTCACATAACCATTACAATATAATACCCGAGTAATATTGCCTTTGAAAGATTTTCGACATGTCCATACGTCTTTGATGACTCCTTCCGCTTCTCTAGCTTTGCCATATCAATTGGTATATACCAATGACCTTTTCCGTAGTGAATTGGTTTCGATCGGTTCAAAATATCCCGCGCGAGACGCGAGAGCGTTCTCGAAACGCGGGAATTCCTTGGGAGTTATACAGAAGTCAATATCGTGTTCACAGACCATCGGCATAGCGCGACCGCGTTGGACTGCCAACAGGTCACACAAAGTCAGCCACCAAGAATGAAAATTTGAAGTTGACACAAATAATGCAAATCGCCTCGATTTTGGGCACATTTCGCGCGCAACCCTAAGATGTTGCGCGCACCAGAGATCATTACACGAAAGATAATATAAAAGCATCCCGGTTGCCAAAACTGTTGCTAAAATACATAAACCCAATACAGGTAGTCTGAACTGATTACCTCTCGACAGAAAAACGCAAATAAAAGGAATTATAGCAATAGTAAGGATACTGAAGCCATGAATATCGAAGCCATATTCGCCATGTAAACCACAGTGTATTAACATTGGAATGCCAAGCAGAAACGGTAGTAACAGAAGTAGAATGAATACCCAGTAACAAAATTTCCTTCCATTGTGGATACCTTTCACCCTACAGAGAAAGACGAATTTTAAAGTACTAATGCAATTGTTATGATTGCATTGATATATTGTAATTGCTACAATAAATTTGTCACATGATTAGTTACAGCACAATGCCAAAGAAATTATGATAGATAATAGATACACATGAATAATAAGTACATAAGATTCATAAAGTAAACTGACTCGACTCCCAAAATAACTATTAATTTAAGGGCTAATCGAGTTAGGTCCCATTTTGCATAGATAAACTACAAATTTTTATTAGAATTTAGGGACACAGAAAAACAAAGAAACGACTATACTTGTGTAAGGCAAAACTTGAGCAACTCTATGAATTATTGCAAGAGGTCAAATAATTCACAAAACAGATTTCAATAGAAATACTGTAATTAATAAGAATCGAGAAACCTTTTGTTTATATCGCACTTGAATAAACTAAAACTTGAGACTTAGGACCAAAGTATCTTGTATATTAAATTTTCCATAAGTGACGGACCATTAGATTTTGAAGAGGGGGGTGGGGAGGGGGGATTGGCAACCTCGTACCCAGGGCATTTTGCTTCCCCTTGTGCGAAAATGGGGGTTGGAAGATTTAGAAAAACAATATCTTGCAGACTCACTATAAACAAAGAAAAGAAAATTATACCGAGAAAGTTCGAAAAAAATAATATCGTACCGGGTCTTACCATCAACATCCGGCGGTGTCAATGGTTCGTCGTCTGCGAGAGAAAAGCTACCCGGGAACAGGTCTTATACTCCCCACACGTCTGGGAATGCGATTCCTTCTCATTTCTACTTTTATGTCTAAAAGGGTTGTATACATGATAATAGGAGCTACGACTCCGAGTGACAAACCATACAGGTAGAGAAAACTCGAACCCACGTCGTTCGGTTTGCTAGTCCAATGCTCTACCGACAGAGCTGCAAGTCAAGTTGGAAGCATGTCGCTGAGATGGTACTTCAAGGTTTTTGATATTTTGAAACTGAATCATAGTTTTGAGTTCGAATCTCAGTCGAGCCAAGTAGAGTTTTCTCTACAGCTATTTTACTTAAAAAAGTACTTGCACTGCGTGGATGAAAAAAATAAATTTCCTTCCTAAAGCAATTCTTTCAACCCCCCTTCAAAAATTTAATGATCCGCCCCTAATTTGTTCGGATTGTAGGAAACTTTAAATTTTATATCTTGATGCCAATTGGTCAAATTTGATACTTTGCTAATCTCTCTTATAAAGAGGTCTCTTAGATAGTTTTATATTCATGAAATGTTATATTATCTATAACTATATTTGCAAAAGGAAACCACTTTTGTGTTTACGTAGGCAATATGTGCGTGCTACCCGCTGTTGGCAATTGTTTAGAAAAATAATTGTTAAAATTTTTGCATAAATTTAATTATTATCTTTTGTGAATTTAACTAGTATTCGGGAATTTGTCTATATATTTGATGCCGAAATCTTTGAGCTATTGGACTAACTGGCTTAATTTAACATCATTATAACGTTGGTAAGTATTTAATATCTCTTTTTATGATTTAGTTTCGGATTTTGCTTTCAGAATTTGCTTAGAATGATAATTCCAACACAAAGGCTAAGACGCAACAGTAAATACTCAATATATTTCGATCATATTTTATTAGCTTGCGATTATAATTACTTTACTGATTATATATCTATAATTTCTGTATACAATTGGACTACATATACAGTATATATCTTCGTGCACATGCAATTAATAAATAATTATTGGATGATATGTTTATGATATCAAGCCGAAGGCGAGGAAGATTGCTGACGCCACTATTCCTGTTCATCAGTTTCTAGCGAAATTTGAAATTTGACATTTTTATACGCATTTATTCGAATACATACGCCAGGATAAGAATCATATACGACTAGTCGTATCGTGTAGATGGGTCTTAAATTAACAAAACTTGATAATTCCGAATTACATCACAATTGTTTTATCACACAATATTCGGCTGATTTCATTTTTATTATACACCTTCAACAAATGATTCTTTGTCACAGTGTATTTTTGTTGCATGCCCATATATGGGCATGCAACTTTCATATAGCTCTAAATTTCGTGTCGCGGTGTACGGGCGGTGGTAAATCACGTGACAGATTCGTATTAAAAATGCGACAAATACCGAGTTTTTCCGACGAGCATTTTCATCTGAATATTGACTCCCGACCGAAAATTTACATAATTGAGCGCCTTAAGAAAATAGATCGAGGTAGGTAAAGCTTTACCGTTTTTAATTTACCTTATATTCTGTTATTTGTTGTTAGTTTGGAACCGTTGTGCTCGCACTGATTATTTATCAGCCGTTTAATATTTATGTCGTGAAGGCTATACGCTATCAAAATACTGAAATATGTTTATATAATTATGCTCAAATTGAAACGGAGTCATTGTCCTCACACTGATTATATTGTGTGCAAAACTTCAAAAATACAGTACATTTTGTAAATAACATGAAATATATTAAAAATATCAAACAAAATTCTCATTAATACTATTGAAATTTAATACAACGAAATAGCATTCTACATTTCTACGTCGATAATTTCAATCATAGTTTAATAATTATTTTCAATCTATAGTAATTCACCGTTTCTATGGTTTTTTATACTTTCAATAAAGCTATAATAAAGCTAAATTTGTAGGAATTGACATTATTTAGTTGTAAAATAGTAAAGGAAATCTAACAGTCAATCGCTTTGAAGCTTCGATAAAACCTTGACCTTGTTTATATTACCGTCGCTTGCAACTACCGATGAACAGTCGCTCATAAAAACATTGCTTATTCGCGCGAGAATCTTAAGTTTTCTTATTTTGACATAATAGCTATTTTTCAATAAATATATTGATATTAAACTTATTGATTCAGTATTTTAAGTTTTAGGCCAGTTGTACCAAAAGTTATAAGCGATAGCACATCATAACCAGCAATCGTCCACAAAATATATTGAGACTTTTT